CACTCTGTGATTATGAATTATTTTTATTTCTATTTGACAGATTTGGAAATGAAGATATAAAGAAATACCTAGCTCAGGGTCACAGAGCTAGTAGGTGGTGAAACTGAAGTACATCCCAGAGAGCTCACGACCTAAAACTCCGCTTGTAACCATGAGGCAACACTGCCTCTACCTCCCAAGAAAGAATTGGCTGCCTCTTCCCAGGAGTCACTTTACTCCCTCATTAGGCAGAAACGCAGGTCCCCCCTCTCCTTTCTTTACTCTCCTTAGGCACTAGCCATGAACTGGTCACCATGACCAATTCTCAGTGGCACCCCTCACACCTCAACTTACCCCTGTGCCTGCCACCAATCCTGTTTCTTCCCTTTGAGTCCCCTGGGATAGCTCCAGGAGGAAACCAGGAACACTCGGAATGCTGACTTCCACTACGGTGGACTTTGCTCTTAAAACCGGGCATACCTGCCCTAGCCAGTTTGGCTCAATGCATAGAATGTTGGCCTGCAGACCGAAGGGTCCCTGGTTTGATTCTGGTCAAGGGCAGGTACCCCGGTTGCAGGCTCTTCCCACGACCGGGCCCTGGTATTGGTGTGTGCTGGAGGCAACCAATCAATGTGTTTATCTCACATTGATATTTCCCTCTGTTTTTCCCTCTCTCTTCCACTCTCTCTAAAAGTCAATGGAAAAATATCCTAGGGTGAGGATTTAAAAAAAAGGGGGAGGGCATAACTGATATTCAGCCAACTAGAAAGTAAAGCTATTTAGAGGGGAGGGGTGTAGATTTCCTGGAAAGCAGGATGGGGTACAGACTTCCACAAGCTTACAAAAAATAAACTTTAAAATGTTATAGGAAGCTATGAGAACTCTATAACTTTATAAGCAAAACCATTAACTAATTATTCATTAGTTAACACTAATTAACTAATTAACTAATTAATCATTAGTTAATCTTTAGGAAACACAACCACAAGACCTCAAGAGCTAGAAATTTTAAAGCTCAAGATTTTACCTTAAGTAACATATTTGAAATCCATCCTTAAATTGATTCTCTGAAACACATTCAACCCATCTTCACCAACTGAAAAACTTCACATTGTCACACTTTCAAGATGACACGTAATAGAGCTCAGAAGGAAAATAGCCATAGGTGAGCCTCTCTGCTCATTTCAAGGGCCAGAGGTGTCAGAAGAGACTAATTGTTCAGGAATGCAGACAAGGCTAAGGTCAAATTCAGTCAGCATATCAAGTCACCCAGCTTTTATTATGGAGGTACTCTGTGCCAGCCATTGTAGCAAATGCAACTTAGAATCATAGACTGTTAAGACTGGCAAGGACCTAGGGGACAAAATTTCTGTTATGGAGCCACTTACAATTTGATTGGAATATTAAGACTCACATATAGGTGGAAATTAGAAAACAATACTAAACATAAATAAGCAGACAGTGAGAGATGCTGTAAAAACTTAGGAGAAGTAAAAACAAATTGGGACTGGAGTCGGTCAGTAGAGATTTTAAAGAGAATATGGGATTTCAGGTGACCTATGAAAGTAACAAAGTGGAGAGGTAGGTAGGCCTTTCATTGAAGGATAGTGTGAACATGGGTAGAGTAATGATAGCAAGAAGTCTGGGAACCAACCCTGGAGAAGACATGGGCATTCCTGAAGAAGAGAGCAGCCTTCCTTGCAGTGGGAGAAGTGGGGAAGGGGGGGGTGGGGAGGCTGAAGGCTGGGTAGTGAACTTTTATTATTTTATTTTAATTATTTGGCGAGGAAGAGGTAGTGAGCTTTTTTTAAAAAATATATTTTATTGATTTTTTACAGAAAGGAAGGGAGAGGGATAGAGAGTTAGAAACATCGATGAGAGAGAAACATCGATCAGCTGCCTCCTGCACACTCCCCACTGGGGATGTGCCTGAAACCAAGGTACAGGCCCTTGTCTGGAATCGAACCTGGGACCGTTGAGTCCACAGGCTGATGCTCTATCCACTGAGCCAAACCAGTTAGGGCAAGGTAGTGAGCTTTTAATGCAGGAATTTGAAATTGGTTTCATAAGGTCAAAGGGAGCTACTATAGTTTCTTAAGTAGTAGACCACACTTCTTAAGCGGGCTTATGTTTAAAACAAAACAAACAAACAAACAAACAAAACAAAAAAACACAAAAACAGCACTTTAGAAAGATTAATCTGGAATCTGAATGGTAGATGGATGGATTGATAACGGGAGGACAATCAGATGATCTGGTCACCCAGGTAATAAGAGCCTATCATGAGAGAGATAGAAAGACTGGGGAAAATGGAAAACATAGGATTCAGTGTTAGGAAAGCAAAAAGGGGATTAACATTAGGAAAAAAACCATGTCTGACAAAATAAGTGTGGTGTCTTTTTTTCCATTTTAGAAATGTGGGGTCTCTGGGGCATGAAACCAATGTAGAATTAAGAAGTCAGGGAGCTGTTTTGTGGGAGTAGGTGATAAATCTGTTCTTAGCCATGCCTAGCATGAGGTGAGACACTGAAAACTGAATTTGAGTAGACCATTAATTCTGGCTACATACACACCTCTCTTTAGGTTGACCATCCTATCCTATCTAATAAAAGAGAAACATGGTAATTAGCGTACGACCGCTACCCTTCCCATTGGCTAATCAGGGCGATATGCAAATTAACTGCCAGCCAAGATGGCAGTTAACGGCCAAAGAGTTAATGAGTGTATTTGGCAAAGGCAGAGAGGTCCTTTTGAACCTGTCTTCTGGAATTAGAGTTTTCTTAATAGGGTTTCACCTGGATTTCTTAACAGTCATAGGTAAAACATTATTAGTTGTTTTTGTTTGCGAGATTTTTAAAATGAGATTTATTGTCATGTTTCAAAATAGTGTTAAATATGTTTGTTGTAAAAAGTTTGGCAAATACAGAATAGTGTAAAAGAGAGGAGAAAATCCACTCAGTGATTACCATTGTTAAAGTTTTGGTGTGTTCCTTACTAGATGTTTTTCTATGATATTCTGCATGTTCACTCATCTGCTTTTCAATTGAGATATGGTGAGCATTCCTAAGTCATTCAAGACATTTCACCAATGGAAGCTGTCCAATTGAAAAATATAGTTGATTGTATTTGAAGCATTAAAAACTATTTGTCTTTTTGGATTGTAAAACTGACACATGTTTGTTCTAGACAATAGGGAGCAATAAGAAGGGAAAATAAATTGCATAAACTCTATAGGGAAACCAGCCACTGAGTACATTTACATGTTCATTTTTTTAGTCTTTATAAGAAACAACAAATTGGAATTCAAGATAAATCATTTTGAATGCCTAACAGTATCACAAGCAAATTCCAATCCTAATATATAAAAAGCAAGGGGCCGTCACGACCGAAACAACTGGATGGACGACCGAACAGTAGGCTGCGTGGGGCGACCAGGCTGGCAGGGGGGTTAGTGAGGGACGACCAAATGACTGAACAGCAGGCTGTGTGGGACGACCAGGCGACAGGGGGGTTAGTGAGGGACGACCTGATGACTGAACAGCAGGCTGTGTGGGGTGACCAGGCCGACTGGGAGACAGTTGGGGGCGACCAGGCCAGCAGGGGGACAGTTGGCGACCAGGCCGGCAGAGGGGGCAGTTGGGGGTGAATAGGCTGGCAGGGGGGCAGTTGGGGGCAAGAAGTCCTGTGGGGGGGCAGTTTAGGGCGAGCAGGCTGGCAGGCAGAGTGGTTAGGGGCAATTGGGCAGGTAGGCAGGTGAGCGGTTAGGAGCCAGCGGTCCCGGATTGTGAGAGGGATGTCTGACTGCTGATTTAGGCCCGATCCTGTGTCAGACATCCCCTGAGGGTTCCCAGATTGGAGAGGGTGTAGGCCGGGCTGAGGGATACACACCCCCATGCACAAATTTTGTGCACCGGCCACTAGTGTTTAATATAAAGTCAACAAATACACAAAGCTGAGGTTTTTACTATATTATTCTAGCTCCACAAAAGCATTTCTTTTGTTGTTTTCTAGGATTGAAATAAACTGTCACCTTGATGTTTTCAAGAACACTGAAGCTGTGTTCAGGCCTCAGATTTTTCAGGCCAAAATCAAAGGCCAGCAATTGACCAGAGAAGGAGAAGCAGAACCTTCAGGCTTGTTTGATTTGAACTTTCTGAATTTCCAATCCTCAGCATTTCAGAGTGTCACTGTTTCTGACCATGTGTAACCTCTGCTTAGGAGTATGATTCCAAAGGATTGGCATGTTTTGTCCAGTTTCTGAAATCAGATGTTGACATTGGCACTCTACATTTTAGTTAAAAATATCAAATATTAATTAGCATCCCCAAAGGATGTGCCAATTTTAGCTTTTAACTCTAAAAATATGTTTACATGTTCCCAAAATATTTTTTAAAAGTCTGCTTTTCTCCCATTCATTCACACTTCATTCATCAGAATGAGGTCAACAGGGCTAGAAAGTCAAGAAGGGATCAAGTCATATGATTGGTTTGTAAATAGTTGAAAATCTGTATTTGTTATTTGGTTGGGTGATTTTAACCTTTATGATAGAGCCTTGAGCCTATAAAAAATTGAAGTGGGATCTGAACATGGCAAAATGTGTTTGCTTTTCTCAGATAAATCTGTTAGTCTGCATGTGCTGTAAAATGGCATTTTCCTCCATTGAAAATTCCACTTCCTATGCAACATATGCCATTCTGCCTTCCTCACAGACTTCCCCAAATAAAGTTCAAAATCCCTCTTGCATTTGTAGTCAATCTAGCCCCCCGTTTGGGGTCAACTGAGAAGTGCCCCAAGAGAAGTCTTTTCAAAAAAGCATTGAACAATTAGCCAGCACAAAAATGTAGCTCTGGGTGACTTCTAAATTGAGTTTCTCAAAGCAAACTGTTAGGTAAAAGAGAAAGCCAAAACTCAAAAGCAATGAAGAAGGAAGAGAAATAATGGAATTTTGTATTTAATAAAATTTAAAGGTGATATACTTTACTATAGATAGATTGCTCCCTGAAATGGTCATATAGACTTACCAGATTAAGAAGTGTCAAGTATTTCCACTGTCCACCATTTTGAAAGATTTTGGATATCTGCGTATTCCTTCCTTTTTGTGAGATGTGATAATTGAGAAAAATATACCAGCTCAAAACAAGGAAGTGGTATACGCATGTCGAAGTCCTCGTCATGGCTCACTCTGGCCGGGAAACTGTGAACGTCTGAAGTGGCTTTCGTCTGGTGTCTTGTGTTGGGTAAGAGCTGAAATCCTGCAGCAGGCGGGGAAGCTGTAAAACACACCCCTCCGGTTGAGAGTTCCAACGAGATTGAATTTTGCCTCCCTCATAAGCTCCCTCCAGATAAACTTTGTGACAGGATTTTTGTTTATTTTCAGATGTCCCAGTTAGATAACAGGTAGGGTGCAGATTTGCATACAGGCAAGGATCAACGCAAGAGCTGCACTTTGCTCGAGCAGGCTGAGATGGGGCGTGGTTAAGTGACCTTAGTGAGAATTACCACTAAACTGATGAAATCCTGTCATGGTTGCATTCTCTCTCCTTTTTTTTTCATTTGAGCAGAACAAGGAAGTTGCAATAATATCTTCTGAGAGAATGAGGGGCAGGTTGGTAAACCAGGAGGGAGAGATTGTGGGCGTGTTTAGGACGTGGAGGGAGGTAAGTAAGAAGGGAAAAGGTATTGTAATCTTGCTGCTGAGGTCTCTGAGGCCCCATGAAATCTGAAACAACACTTGGACCTCCAGAGAGCAGTTCTAAGGGTTTTTTGCTTTTGTTTTTTAATTTTGTATCTACTCCCTGGAGAACCGAGGGTTACCCAAGGCTGTCCCGGACACTTTTATTTGCATAGGTTTTTCTCTACCCTGGGAGGACAGAAGCAGAGCAAGTCATCTGTGGCTAAAGAAGCATAAATAAGCCGAAGGGTGTGGCCATGATCCCATCATACCTGAGTTTAGACATTTCCTTGGGGAGAACGAGAATATGCTCAGGCTGGGCAGTCTGAAGGACTGAATCCTGCCTCGAGCTGGACGGAAGGGACCTGAGAGAGAGCTGAAAGTGTCATACCTTGTGCCGTCACCAGCTTGTTTCCCTGAGCAACTCACTAAGAGGGTTCTGAGCAAATCCCTCAGGGAAATGCTCTCAACGTAGTTGTGTAAGTATGTAGTTGGTGCTGTTCAATAATTTAACCAGGGTTTACAAGTACTGGGAGAAAGAGCTTCAGGCCTGCCCTAGCTGCTTTGGCTCAATGGATAGAGTGTCAGCCTGCAGACTGAAGGTCCCAGGTTTGATTCCGGTCAAGGGCACATATTAGAGTTGTGGGCTCAATCCCCAGTAGGGGGTGTGCAGGAGGCAGCCAATCAATGATTGTCTCTCATCATTGGTGTTTCTATCTCTCTCTTCCTCTCTGAAATCAATAAAAAAATGTATTTTTTTAAAAGGAACTTCAGACTGTACATGTAGGACAAAACCAAACAAAGCTACCATCCAAGAGTCAGTCATAGGATCCCAAATCTTAGACACTGCATATGGGTGTAGAGCAAATCTGAACTAGCAATAAAGGGTCTGCACTGTAAACATTCCCAAAGAAGAGGTGATCTGGGAAATGGGTGACATAAAACTGCACACAATTCCATGGCCTAGGTTAAAATTACAAATAACAACGATGACCAGATTGGTGAGACGAGGTGTTTTCCCCGGGTCGTGTCTCTCAACGCCAAAGAATGAGCTTCGCGGACCAGAAGATTTAAGCAAAGTGTGGAAAATTTATTACAAGCAGATTCAGACTCCCCGCAAGGGGAGGGGGACCCAAGAATGGGCTGCCCGTTAAAGCCTTGTAGTCCAGGGGTATATGTTTGCTACAAGCCTGCTCTGTGTCTACCTGTGTCATCACCTGATTGATTCCCTCCATTGTTTTTGCCCAGTAATGGACCTAAACTTTCCCTGTTTCTATGTGTTGTTAGTATGTTCCTATCCTGAACTTTTTCTGTTTCTCTGTGTTTGTACATTTTGTTTACTGCAGGCCCTCTCTTGGTTTCCCATGCCTCCCGCTTTGAGTCCAGAAGCATTTTATTATTTCTGCTTGGTTGGTTCCTGTGGTTAGGCTGCTCAAACTGCCGTGTCTGCTGCCCCTGCCTATGTTCCACCCGTCTTTGTTTTCCACTGCACCCCTGCCTTATCTGCCTGCACTTCAAGTTAACCTTCTCAACAATAGCATCTAATAATTTTCCAGTACTTAATACATGACAGGCATTGTTCCAAGTGCTTTACACACACGTTAACTCATTTACCCTCTAAACAAGACTATGAATTAAGTACTAGTATTGTTATCGGCGAGACAAGGAACCCTCAGTTCCTGACTTCTTGAGGGAAATATTTCAATCAAGAGACAAAGTGTAGAAAAGCAAGCAAGAATTTATTGACCGCAGCAAAAATATACTTAGGACAGTGAAACAAGGAAGGGCATAGAAGCAAGAGGAGAGCCTAGGCTGGGCTGCCTTACCTCACTGGGAAGTGAGAGAATAGGGGGCCTTGGAGACAGGTCCAGGGGGTGAGTCCGGGACCAGCTGCTGCTGCCCATTGCTCCCCTGGTTGCAAGTCTCATGGGGTCCCTTAGAGGCTGGGGATGCAGGCCGTGGGGAAAGGACAGAAGGAAGGGGATGGAATGGGAGTGCTCCCAGGAGAAAGAGCGAGAGAACACCTTGGGACCTTCATTTTCAGGGGTGTTAAAGATTGGGTGTTTAGGGCAGATCTAAAGGGTGAATCAGTAGAATATTCATCAGCTTTATGCTGATGTACCAAAATGAGATTTATTTTCTTAATTTATCTGTCCTTGGGTGTGGTTGGCAAATGGCACCTAATTGAATTTCTGTTGCTTGTCTCTCTTTGTGTTTAGCTATTTACCCTCTGGTTGGGGAAGAGAAATGCAAACCATTTATTCTCAAGTGCCCTTGGTTTAGGGAAGATAGGATTTACTAAGTGACTACAAAATGCTGTTTAACTCTCTGTCTTAGTTTCCCTATTCTGCTTGTCCTGGAATTTTCCTAGTTTCTTACTATTCTAGAACAATTATGATCCTCATTTTCAGATGGGAACTTGAAGCCCAGGCGCTAAAATAGAGCATGCAGAAACTTAAGAGGCAGAGCTGCAATCTGTACTTCAACAGGGGTGTCTGACCCTAAAGAAACAATGTTTGCTCTGCACACCCTCAGGCTTCCTTTGCATTTATCCACTCTCTGCTTACCCCTTAAATTCTCTTCCTCTCCCATCAGAAAATTCTCTGTAACATGTTTTGTAACTTGGTGCACATATGAATTGTTGTGCTACGTCTCCCAGGGCATTATCATGGTAAATACTACTGTAGATGTAGGGATTTTACTCCTTTATACAAACATCTCAAGTATAAGTCTGCAGATGGGTAAGGATTTGAGGCACAAGTAGGAAAAGAGGAAAAGACCCAAATCTCTGAAATGTGTCTGTTCAAACCTGGAGACTGACCTTTTAACATCTGGAATTTTTTTCCTGCATTAGCCTCAGTGCCCACAGATGAGGCCTTTCATAAATATTGATAAAATTATTTAAATTTATTTGTAAGAAGTTTGGCATTTAACATTGAAATTCAATTTTTAGCATTTTAATAAATGATGTAACATAATATAAACAGTCATGCACTGCTTAACAATGGAATACATTCTGAAAAATGTGCCAGGCAATTTCGTTGTTGTGCAAACATCAGAGTGCACTTAACACAAATCTAGATGATATAGCCTACTACACACCGAGGCTTTACAGTATAGCCTATTTCTCTGTAAGGGAGGAAAAATAATTTTCCCTTCTGGGTTCTTGGTTAAGTTATCCTTGAAATAAAACACAGGTTAACGGGGAAAAAAAACGAAAGTCTAATAGCACGTATAACATAATATTTATGTCCTGTAAACATGGAAAGACCCAGGAAAGCTGAGTAACTTGCCAAAATGACTAAAGCCAACACCTTAAATAACATCTCCAGCTGAAGACAAAAGATGCTGGGGGCGTAGGGAGTCAGTGAAGGGAGGTTACCAGGAAAAGCACAGCAAGCAAGGGTAAGGTTGTTACGCAGATTTTACTGGAAGTTGTCTTCTGCTTTGGTAAGAGTTTCTAGAGATAAGGTAATTCCTCTCTTATCTTACAAAGGGTAACCTCTATTCCATTTTCAGTTTCTCCCATGTCTGCTCTTTTTTTAAATTAACCAGCCTAAAATAATCTTTACGTCAAATAGACATATTTTGGGATGATGAATTCCGTTCCCTTGCATCTCCTAAGATCCAAACCTGTACTGCGTGTTACTATACTGAATACTGTAGGCAATTTGTATATTGCATTACGGTGTGACTTTATGGTGTGCATTACGGCCATGACATTACTAGGTGATGAGAATTTTTCAGCTCCATTTTAATCCTATAGGACCACCATTGTATATGTAGTCTGCTGTTGACTGTATGAACAAAAAGAGGACTATGTAATAAATCAGAGAAGCTCAGCAGTGGCCAAAAGTAACTTCACAGGGTGATCTGATTATAAATTCCTTCTTGGGCAGGTCATGGTTGACTATAACTTCCTTAGTAAGAGTTTTATTTTTGCCTTAAGCAGCCTTTCCATTGTTTTGTGCATCTAGGTTAACACACCTTTGAAATGTCAGAATAATCCTCTGGATTATTTTAGACCCCTGGAGGTTTAACCAGACTGAAGGGAGCACATGAGCTTGTTGCCTGTAAACATTCCTATTTACTGTGTTAAATATACTATACCCTCCAATGTAAAAGAAGTATGTGAAAAGGAAAATGGGGGGGAGGGGAGGCTTGCAACCTAGTTCAGTATCTGGTTAAAACTGTAGTCTTACTTGCCCACTCTGACTGACTTGGGTGGAGCTGCAGAGCCTAACCCCAAGGCCCCGCCAAAACTGACTTGGGCAGAGCTGTGGGGCCCCTCAGGGGCCCACCACAGGAGGAGGTATATAGGTCAGAGCCTCCCCACCAGTTCAGTTCAGGCTTTGGATCCAGAACTCCCCTGGACTAACAGATCTGCGAAATAAAGGTTAAACTTTCCTCCCTCAGAGTGCTGGCTGCTGGATCTCCCATGCATTCTGCCACAACAGTATGTGCCCTGACTGGGAATGGAACCCTCAACCTGTTGGTGTATGGGACGATGTTCCAACTGAGTCACCCAACCAAGGCTGGAAAACAATTTTTTTAATTTCACAAATACTTATTGAGCAATGAAGGCTCTGGGGATTCCCT